AATTCGAAGAGATGAATAATAAAATTTTAAAATGGCGGGTAATGCACAAATATTCAGTAACCAATCAGGGAGCTGATTACATTACGCATAGAATTAAAATTATTTAAATAATCATTCATAATAAAATCATTTTTAAAACAAATGCAAAATTAAATTGTATTTTAATATTTAACAGCCATAGATAATGTTTAAAACATTAGATTAAATTTATAGATATTAATAAAACCAATTACTTTTTAAGTAAGGTGACATCAATGATTACATCATCCACAACATAAAATTATATAAAATATTATAAACAACAAAGTTTTTATTTCAAATAAAAATGCAAAATTAAATTGATTTTTTTTTAATATTTAGAAGCCATAAATAATATTTAAAACGCGAAATTAATGCATAATAAAACGCATTATTTTTTAAATAAAAGGACAACAAAGTATCGGTTACCATAAATAACTTATCCGGCAATGGGTTTACCATTGCTGGATAAGTTATTAGTTGTATAAATTATTAGTTGTTATTAGTTGCCGTTATTAGTTATAAGTCGTATTACTGGCCAAAAGAAAAATTGCCAAAATCTGTGCAGCCGTCTACCAAAGTAGCACCAAAAATTACAATGAAATAAGCTATATCACTTAATACAAATATTAATTATCCTAATAAAAAAAATTAACCAACTTTCCGTTGAAGAAAAAAAATCATGCAAAACTTTTCAGTATCTTACATACAGTGAAGTAAGCAAAAAATAACATGAAAGAAACTCAAAAAACAAAAAATTCCGCGCACTATTTTACTCTGCAGAACAACTTTATAAAAAACATCAATAAAAATGTATTATATATATAAAAAATGACAATGAAATATGCCAATCTCTTAAAAACAGTGACATAAGAAATACGATGAAAAATTGTTGCCAAACCCATATTTCTAAAAGAATGAAACTATTCAAAATGATGCGATTTCATCAAAAATCTATCAACAACAATAAGAAAGGAAAATTGTTGCCGAAATCACATTTTTAAAGATGTGAGATGTGAGAAGTGTACTCGGGAGCTTCATTTAAAAATTTTTTTTAAATACAAAATATTACCATTTTTCCTAAATTCTTTTTATAAAAGCAGTCGCAAGGATGAAAGTTTAACGTGTCCAAAAATCAAAGAAAAAGAAACTGTACACTTTTAAACATAAACTTTTTTAGAAAAAATCCCGTTGAAAATCCCGTTAAGCTCACTTTGTTAAATAAATTCGTATTTAATCGATTTATTGAAACACGAAATTTATTTTAAGCTCGAAAACTAGCTAAGTGTCTACATTTCGTGACAATGGAAAATGGAGTGCATAGAGTAAAATCTCGCTTTCCTATAGCTCATTATGTCTCAAAATGACGCGATTTCGTCACAAAACATAAAAAAAATTCGAATTCGAATTTCAAAAAAATTGCTTCGAGGTGCAGTGGCTTTTGTCTAGATTCACTTATGTACCAAATTTCGTAGCCATGAGTCTATTAGCTTACACGCAGCGTGAACAAAAGACACACACACAGACAGACTCTTTGCTTTATTATTCCGTGTAACCATAAGTAAGATTTCCTGTAATGCAATTTATTTTTTAACAAAACGGGTAATATCAAACATATGTGTCTTTATTTCCCACTCTGGGCGAGGGGGAGAAAAGGATTCTTAGTAACAGTGGCATAAGGTTTAATAATATTTCAATTTTCATGAATTGGGAATTTAATTTATTTCTTATTTTATACAAAACTATGCACTTTATATTACAATTAAAAAAAAGCATATGTATTCCTTTCACAGTCTTTACAAAACTTATAGTATAAAAATGCATTAAATATTAAATTAAATACTTTCATTTTCTGCTATATGCGTATGAAGTTAAAAGTTCCAAGTTATAAAATTAACAAAAAGTAAAAAATTGCAAATTAAAAAAATTAAGTGAATATTTAGCATTTAAGTCAATAGTGATTACTTTACACAATATTATACACAGTGGTATATTGAAATGAAATTCCTTAATATTAACTTATCCATTCTTTTAAATAAATACGGAAGCAAATGCCTTAATAAATTTAAATTTCAAGTTAGGCTTAACTTACCCTAGAATACTTCGAAATTGTAAAATTTTCTCGTGGTATACATCATGTTTAGGAAATGTATATACAGTATAGAGTCCATAATCCGGACTCATCGGGACTTTGGCGATTCCAGATTAAGGGTTTTTCCAGATTATGGATCATCAATTTAAATCTGGTAAGATGGCATGCAGAAATTATAAAATTAAAAATATGAAACTGTAATTCATGAAATAAAGAGCAATTATGATCTAAAGGGTATCAAAATTTACAAAAAAAGCTTAATATTTATTTGTTTACTTTAGTAAACATTTCTATCAATGTAAGTTGTTTAAGTTGCTTCATTTTTTGTGCTAATACTTTCTCTTTAATTTTATAAACAGACATACTTTCTTGTTCAGTTACAAAGTTTCACTGCTCAAGTCCTGTAATTGCTGTGTCGAGAATACCGACTAACTTGTCAATCGAAATTTTTTCGTTTTCAATAACGTTCTCTGTTACTTTCTTCACTATTGGAAGTGTGCGTGGGTAAATGCTTTACTGGCTTTACACGCGTGCGCAGAGGACGCGCGCATCAAACGCACATGCGTATGTTTGTGGCTTTGAAGTCCGGATAATGGACGTCCGGATTACGGATGTACTGTACTGGCTCTTTAATGCAGGGTTCTCAACTGGTGGTACGCAAGAGAAAAATAGGTGGTACGCAAAGAAGCAAAGTATTTTTAACTATTAAATTCGAAAATTAAAACCCCAACATCCTGATTGAGTTTTTTCTCTAACACTCATAGATTTCTGTTATCCGAGCTTTGTTCAAGAGAGGTGGTGGTAGTAGTACTTTGTAGTGGTGATACTAAAGGTTTCAATTTTTGCTTAGATGGTAGGCATTAGTCAAAAGGTGCTGCTTTAGGGCCATCATTATAATATCTTTGGCATAACGGCAGACAACACTTTAAAGGCATAATGCAAAACGAAAAAAATATCAAGATTAAATTAAGCAGACATTAAATCTATTGAAACAATGCTTTGGTTCATTAGTACATCCTCTCATGATTTCCCTAACTTGCTCATGCCATCTGGATGGCTGTCGGCCAAAGAGGCTATCTTTCGCACCCCATCGAGATAGCCAACAGTTTGTGACGTCACTAAACTACGAGCCTTTAGTAGGGAGGCTTGTGTTAAGAAGGTGTTGGCAGGGGTCAATTATTCCCCAGGAGGAAATTCCATAATTTCAAGAGGGGATGCAGTCAGTCTTGTGTATTTAGTTTTAAAATATTAATATAAAAAAAAACTTGTTTATTCGAATTTTGGTGTTAACATTTTCTATCCTTAATTCTGTTTAATTTATAAAAAGTTTTTAAAAAAATCTAAATGTAAACAAATGTATATGTTTTTTGAATATTGGAATGGAGGGCGGGGAGAGAGTGATCTAGCAGTGGTAAATGAGGTGTGTGAGGCAAACGAGGTTAACTGGTCTATACATTTCTAATGTCCTTTGTAAACCATTGCTATATTGAAATCAACAGATTTCTTCTCAGCTTTTCTGTCCTTCTAGAATGCTTTTTGCTTATTCTTATTTCAAATCCATAATAGAAATGTAAAAAGCATAAATGTAATTGTTTAACATTGGGTTAGGTGCATGTTTTAATTAATGCTGCATGTCTGCTTTGAAAATGATTTGTCAAGAAAAGAAGTGTTGGACTGGGTATGCACCAGCTACATCCTATCTACATTATTAATAACAATATAATCAATCAATGATGCCAAGATAATGTTTAAAGTTATCCATCCTTTCCCTGTGTGATTTACAAAATAGTGAAAATTGAAGAACGAGTAACAAATGTAGATGAAAACTGTACATAAAAAGTGATAGAAATTATGGAAAATCAAAAATCACTTCAAATTTGCTGAGTGACATATAAAATGTAAAAGCCAAGTTCTAAAACAGTGTATGTCACCATAGCATATAATATAAATTGGCAGTGTGATTAAAAAATTCTTTTTTTAAATATTTTTAAAATTTTTTTTATAGAAAAAATAAGTATATAATATATAGTGGCAGACATAACTGGTTCATGGTCCCCAAAGAAGTCAATACAGCTAAATAACAAACCCATAAACATAAAAAATCCATTACAAAAGCATAAATATGCTTATGCATCAAAAAACAAATAAGCACAGGTCTTGAAAACAGTACCAAATTATGTAAAATCTATTAATGCTCATGTCTTTTAATCTTTCAAATAAAAAAAAATTCTAAATTGAAAATCTGGGAAACTATTAAAAGTAATTGTAAATAATCTAATTTCTATTGTGCCATTTTGGTAATAGTAGTAGGATTCAAAAATAGTAAGAACTGATGATGAAGGTTTTTAAGAGCCAATAAATAAAATTGAGAATACTGGAAAAAGTTAAAAAAAAACGTGTTGAAGTTATATTACAATATTTACCTTTTTGGCATCATTTTGTTCTAAATTAAAGTGTATTTTTTTACTGTTGCATATAATGTGTATTGTTTTCAGGGCTGGCACCAGAGCATTTGCAGCAGGTACAACCACACTGAGCGGCAAAATTTGTAAAATAATAGGCAATAACTGGGTGGCAGATTCTAGGTATTGAAGTAATTGCATCGGGCTGTGAAAATCCTTTCTCCGGCATTGATCATTTCTTCATCCTCTTCAGTCACTTAATTTTTATTTTATAAGTGTGCGTTTATATATGTATATATTAATGTTGCTTAGTTTATGAAATGAAATATAAATAAATAGCGAAACTGTGGTGATGAAAGTACCTAATAAAAGGGATACATTGTTTTGTTTGTTATAGAATAATTCATTAAAATTTCTGATTAATATGTTTAATTAATCATTTTATTTATACTGTTATGTGAAAAGTAATTCTTATTTTCCTTTCTTAGTTGCAATATGTCTGTTACAGTTCAGCAGCTCCTAAATGATGCAAAACGGCTTGTTACACGTCTACGAGAGCATGACAACTCTGCTGATTCCCTTATTTCACAAGCACAGACATTGAACAACAATGTAGAAACAATGAAACAAGTTAGTTGATATGTACTGCATACATATTTTATAATTTAAATTTATTTATGTGAAATAACATTGTGATAAATTTATTTTATGCTAGTTTCTTTCTTTTTTTTTTTTTTTTTTTCTTTCTTTTTTCTTTTCTTTTCTTTTCTTTTTTTTTTTTTTTTTTTCTTTCTCTTTCTTTTTTTTTTTTTTTTCTTTTTTTTTTTTTTTTTTTTCTTTTCTTTTCTTTTCTTTTTTTCTTTTTTTTTTTTTTAAGGATATGTACTCTGTGCATGGCTATGTAAATTTTTTATATTATGCATATTGGTTACATTTAAAGCAATATATTTTAAGTGTACATTATCTGTGTAAAATAGGAAGATCTTTAAAAAAATATGAATAAGAGGCATGGAGCCTTGGTATCTATTTCTGACATACTTTAAATTTTATCTGCTGTGTTTTATTACATGTAAATTTCCAAATCAATTCATTTTTCATACATTTTTTTTTGTATAATTTCCTTCATTTAAAGGATTAGAGGAATTTCTTTTAACAATTTTTTGTATATAATTCTGTCTTGAATGAAATTTGAAGGTTATATTGAAAGTAGCTATTTCAAAATATAGAAAAGTGTTTTTATTTTCTGATGTATCAAACACAAAAACAGAGGTGTTTAAATTAAATTTTAAAGAATATATATTGTGTAAAGAAATAATTTTTGGTACTCGCATATTATCTGTTCGACCATGAAATGGTGGCTATGTGGCATGATTTTGCATCAGTCATGGATAACCATGATGTAACAACACATACGTAACGTGCATTTTCGTTTGATTTAACCCCAATAAATTATTAACAAACCATCTTTTGTTTTTATGAACAAGGATATAAATTAACTGTTTGTCATATTTATTTTCTTGCATTTTGAAAAGATTTATTAAAATTTGGAGTCTACTTAGAACTATTGATGAACAGAACATTATTAGCTGAATGTAATCAACAATACAATAATAGATCGGAACAATCTATGGGAAGTTTGTACTCATAGTGTTCTAAACAGAGCATTCAGTAAAAATCAGAGGACCTAACAGAATAGCAGAAATTGACCAAAGCTGTTTTAATTAGTATAAAAACAAAACGACCTGAATATTAATTGTTTATTAAATCTAGAGGTGTTAATTCCTTCAGAATTCCACAGGAACATTTGCCAAAATTTTTGCAGAATCTTTGCTGAATTTCATGATTTGATTGTAGCCAACTTCCATAGTCGATGGGATAGTATGTAAGTATCAAGTTTTTTATGGTCATATATTCCTATATAATTTTTCAGTTTGGATCCTTTTAGTACCATGAAGAAGTTGAAAAATTAAATGCTTTGGCTCATCAAAGACCTCGATCAGCACTTATCCTAAATATACAGCAAGAAAATCGTCATATACGAGAACTTCAGCAAGAAAACAGGGAGTTAAAAGCAATGTTAGAAGAACATCAGTCTGCTCTAGAACTCATAATGAACAAGTACAGACAACAAATAAAGCACATTGCTGAAACTGCTATGGCAGAACAAGCTTGGGTTCAGAGGGACTCTTCCCAGGTATTGTTTCTAATATATTAATTACTTTAAATAAGTAGTTATCAATGGATGTGCTATAGCACATTAGCATGCTGTAAAATTTTGTATCTGTGTGGTCAGAAAACAAAAGTATAATAGAGAAAAAATGTGAAGTGAAATGTGCTATGAATAACAGCATGCTGTACTGCGAGCCATAAAATGTTCAGAACCAATGCTTGAATTTTTTTTATTATATCATGATGAATTGATATTAATTTCTCTGTATTAACTATTTAAAAATTAAGTATCTGGTTTTAGGAACATAGAAGCTTTTTTGAGAAGATCCTGTAAATTTATCGTCATTGATAACTAAGGAAATAAAATAATATTGAAGAAGAGAATGACCTCATTCTCTTCTTCAATATAATGGAGAGAAGGGGAAATTGTCAGAGGGCACAAAATTTTTATGTAGCAAATTAAATATTTATATGAAAATGTTACAACTTTTTAAGGAGTGCAGTTTTAAGATTTATCCTTAGGTTCTAAGTTTACTAACAAAACTCTGTGGCAAAGTAAAATACTTAGTGAAAAGTGATTTATGTGTATAATAAATGAATTCTTTTCAAATATTCACATAGAAGAAGAAGCTTAAGTTTTTATAAGGGATGGTAAAAAATGATTTTATTAATTTGAGATAATTAGTTTTATCAGATTTCGAAAATTAAGCAATATCCTTATAATTTTGTATTGCAGAATCATTAATTTATGATCACACATAATATTTTCTTATTGTGTGCAGATTAACAATTATTTATGTTCAAAAGTACGAGTATTTTAAAATTCAAAATATATCTTACTTTTTGCTGATGAATTAGCTTTTAAAATGACAATGAAATTATAGTGGAAAGCTTGAATTAATAATATTTGGCTTTTAGTTCTCTTAAATTTATAAGAACTAGAGAGGGGTATGGAAGTGATCTATTTTGTTTTAATAGAAGGGTATAATTAGCACTAATTTGCATAGTTTGTAACATTTGATTTAACCATTCTTTCTTAAATGCATCTTTTTCAACAAGCTGAAATTTTTTTATAGAAGTACTGAAAGATAAACTATGAAACATGCATTGACTTTAGTGAACCACACATCAGTCATTATCATTCTGTCGCTTCAGTATCTCACCACTGTCTAAGTATTTGAAGAAGTGCACTAGTTCACCTGGCATCTAGTTCCTAAACTGAATGATCTATTTCATTTGGTTTGTCATATGAAATATGAATACTTGTGTATTTAATTAGAAAGCCTTTCTATGCCAGATAACCTTTTAAGGCCCATTCAGACGGGTTTATCTGAGCTAACGAAGTCAGTTCTATGTGCCGACTAGCTCTGCTATGCATGCACATATGTTTCAACGCATTTACGTTATGGGGAAAAACTTGTTTTCAAGATGGGTCGGCTAAATCTGTTGTCTCTGTTAGCTCAGATAAACCCCACTCTGAACCACCTTTTAGTTTCTTGAAGGAGAGATAGCCTCTTTTGTATTTTCAAGGGACTTTTCTTTCTAAAAAAGGAAATAATTGAATTTTAATGAATTAAAATTTAACTTCTATGATACATAATTCTTATTATTCATAGTGTGCATGTAAATTCAGTTATATTTATAAATAAGTAATTTAAATTCACTGTAATTAACGAGAAAAGGAGGAAAAACTTCATACTTTAAATAAAAACACAATTTATTAGCCAGTATTACTCAGAACAGCTCTAAAACCACATTTGTGGTCATAAAAAATTTAAGACAAACACCCTGAAACAATCAGCAACACAACCATCAAGCTATAACGATGAAGGTAGCTTCACGGCAAAGCACTAGAGTACAGCTCCCAACTCAGTTCGGTCATTCTCGGAACTCAAAATATTCTCGAGACTCTCCACACTACAATTTGTGATGCCCTCAACGATACACTCGATAGCCTCAACGATGGACCAACTCGTGATACACTCAACGACCAACTCAACACTGGGCTACTATTTCGTATAAGTAGGGTTTATAGAGTTAATTAGTTCTAAGCACAGGCCCCCAGCCCACTTAGCAAGTGAAACCTGCCATATGGCTATAAGGGGACAGGCCAAGCCACAAATCATTATAAAAAAAAAGATTAACATAAAGGAAAAGAACATATCCAAACAACAAAAATCAGTGTTATTTAGATTCTAATGTTCTTTTTGCAAATTTTATAGCTTTTGTCTTTGAGAACATTATGGGCGAAACTGGTAAGAATTCATTCCAGAATTTTCTCCCTCCATCTATGGCATATCACCAATTTTTTCGCCAAATCTGGCATCCCTGCCTTCTCTTGCCATTTTTTGACAAGCCTAAACCTGTTTGTGGAGATCACAGTTGGGCATTTCATAACAGTATGTAATTCCATATACAGTCAAAAAGTCGTTAATTCGGACACCCATAATCCGGAATGATCTAAAATCCGGACCTCAAAGCTAAAATCTTTCTGCGCATGGCATAGGCGTTTACGCGTGCGCGCAAGACTTTTACAACTGCGCATATGGGTGTGCGCAAGCGCAGAATACGTTTTCGCGTGCGCGTTTAATGTATAACGGACGGTATGAGCTAAAATTATCTAATTATCTATTTCAGTTAATGTTGATGATTGCGTTGTTCCTTAATCTTCGAATTGGATCCGGCTTATTATTTTTTGCAGACTGTAAGAGTAATTTTATAAAAGTAAGCTTGAACTTTCGATTATGTCAAACAGAATTTCCGATGCTGGAGCTCCCAAAGGATCTACAAAACGAAAGTATGTTTTGATGTCCATCAAACAAAAACTGGAATTGATGCAAAAAATGGATAAAGGCATATCCTTTGTTTATCTAACCGTTCCGAAATCTGTTTTTCAATTTCACGCTGCTCTGCGCGTGGGGGGGGGGGGAGGACGTTGCGGCGCACAATGAACTGGAAGTTGATCTGTCAGCACTATCGTTATCTTCAGGGCAGATGTTTTTATTTTATTCGGCTTATAATTCCTTACTAATTGTAGTATTTCATCTTGATGTACTCCGTCTTTGATATGATTTAAATCAAATTCCTCGTCATTATAAATATCACGAATACAAATCAAATAGTTTTCTGGTTGCAATTTTGTCGCGGCGTGCAATGAACTGGAAGTTGATCTGTCAGCACTATCGTTATCTTCAGGGCAGATGTTTTTATTTTATTCGGCTTATAATTCCTTACTAATTGTAGTATTTCATCTCGATGTACTCCGTCTTTGATATGATTTAAATCAAATTCCTCGTCATTATAAATATCACGAATGCAAATCAAATAGTTTTCTGGTTGCAATTTTCTAATTTCGGCTATGCGTAATGTATGCTTTACGCTTGCGCGCGTTGAAAGAAATGTTTAATAAAGTAAACAAATAAATATTAAGCTCTTTTTTTTTTTTTTTTTTTTTTTTTTGTAAATTTTTATACCCACCCTTTAGATCATAATTGCTCATTATTTTATAAATTACGGTTTCATATTTTTAATTTTATAATTTCTGCATGCCATCTTACCAGATTTAAACTGATGATCTATAATCCCGAAAAATCGATAATCCGGAATCGCTGAAGTCCCGACGAGTCTGGATTAAAGACTTTTGACTGTATTATTTTTTTCATTGCTGCTTTTATGGTTGTGCTAAAAATGTGCGATAATATATACAAAATTTTGACTAATTTAGTTAGTTTAATTAACCAAAGATGGTAGGTATTTTGCATCGCAAGTAATCTATGGTTTTTTAGTAGCTTAACTTTATGGTTTAACTATATACTCTTTTAATTTTAACATTTAATTTTTCAAGATATGTTTTATAATGGGTCATATCAAATGAGTCTAATTTCTCCCTCTGTGTTGCAAATACTATACAGAAAGGAAGGTTAGTTATTAGTTTTTAAACTGTCTCAACATTTAAGGCCTTTTTAATATTATTTGAAAAGAAATGACCCCTTTATTTGTAGCAATATTTAAAAAAAAAATCGGTGTTCCATCTATGTCATTGATTTTTTGTTTTTCCTGACTTTTTTACATAGAAATGTTTCGATTAAATTGAAGATCTTTATCTTGTGAGATATATTGTGAAAGAAACAATACAGTCAAAAGTCGTTAATCCGGACTCGTCAGGACTTCGGTGATTCTGCATTATCGATTTTTCCGAAGTATAGATCATCAGTTTAAATCTGGTAATATGGCATGCAGAAATTACAAAATTAAAAATATGAAACCGTAATTTATGAAATAAAGAACAATTATGATCTAAAGGGTATCAAAATTTACAAAAAGAAAAAGCTTAATATTTATTTGTTTACTTTATTAATCATTTCTTTCAATGTAAGTTGCTTCGTTTCATGTAATAATACTTTCTCTTTAATTCTATTAAACAGACATAATTTCTTGTTTAGTTACAAAGTTCCACTGTTCAAGTCCTGTAATTGCTGTGTCAAGAATACCGACTAACTTTTCGATCGAAATTTTTTTGTTTTCAATAACTTCTCTGTCACTTTCAGTAGCGGTATTTTCTGGATCTAGAACCATAGTACAGATTTCGCCATTCATTAATGACTGATGACTGAGAAGCATTGTCATCACAATGAAAAACTTCTTTAATATCATCTTCATTTATTACCACTTCTCCACATTTCTTTACAAAATCCGTTAATTGGAAAAATTCACCTTTGTTTTGTGATATCCAAAAACCTTTAAAATTCGTGGCTATCATCATCAAATTTAGCTATCCTTCACTATACATATTTGGCTATGCATCATGAACTTGGCGACTAATGACAAGTTGTTCCGTTAAATTTTATCTTTGATGCTAAAGCAAAGTTTAAAGTTTAAAGAAATTAAACATTTAGCAGTAGTAGCAATAAAAGCTCCCTGAGATATCATGTTGTGCAGACATTGAAGACAATAAAAGGTTTTGAACTTAACCGATTTATTAACAATATAATAAAGAATAAAAACACAGAAAATAAAATTTCAACA